TGGGCAAGCCCCTAGGACAAGGGTGGAGCTGGGTGTGGCATCCTTGAGGGAATGTCAGGTGAGGGATGTGGCCTTCCAACCAGAGAGGGACACTGAGATGAGCCAGGGCTTCATGTAAGAGCTCAGACCAGGCCTGGCCTGCAGGTGGCACTCTAGGAGCCCTGATCACCCGTGCCCCTTTCTCCTCCCAGGACTCAGCTCTTCCTACCTGTCTGATGTGGCCTCCCTGGTCTTCCACCTCTATTCCTGGAGCCTCCACCCTGTTGGCCATGCTCAGAGACCTGCCACTCCCCAAGACCACCTTGTGGCTTGGATAGAACTCTCCATGGGAAGGGGGCCTATGCCCTCTGTACAGAAGGAATGGGGAACTGGATTCTAGAAGGGCTTCCTGGCAGCAAGGACAGTCTGACCTTGGGGAAGGTACCAGACAACCAGGGGCCTGTGAAGGCTTTGCTGCTAATTGGCCACTGTCCTTGGAAACTGGAGGAGGCCAGGCCTGGATATGGGGGCCCACTTGCTAAAGAGACAGCCTGCGGTTAGGGGTCCAAGGCACTGGTCCTTTTCACTGCCAGGAGGGCCCGTGATGACCTCGTGCCATCGTTAGATGCAGATGCTCAGCCAGAGAAGCCTCCAGGGCCCCACTGGAACCCCAGTGTGGCCTGTGACCTCCTTCACATTGTCACTGTGACCCCAAGCTCTGAGAGCTCAGTGCTGCAGCAGAGGCCTCAGAAGGGTAGGTTCAGGTGTCAGCAGGCTGGGCTAGCTAAGGACAATCCAAGCTGCATCTCCATTTTCAGGCCCCCGGCTGATGCACAGAGCATCTCCTAGCGCTGGCGCTGACGTGCACTGCTAGCGAAAACTGGTGTTCCTGAAAGACAGGACCTGGATGGAGGGTGCAGTGGGGCTCAGTCTGCCTCATCCAACCTTCCCAGCCAAGGGCCTTATGCACTGCTGTGGCCGAGGGGCGGGGACGCTGGCAGGGGAGTGGGACAGAGGGGCTGCTGCATGCATGTAACAGTAGCTGCAGCTGGGGTTTCACCAAACTCCCTGACCAGGACAAATCCTGCTTTCTGTGTCCAGTGATGGTGAGGCTGCACTCAGACTCTCCTCCCGCTCCTTGACCTTGTGTACACCCACACACAGGCACTCCTGCACACTCACGCATGGACAGGTGGAGCCATTCAGGCCCAGGTGCACTCTCCTGTGCACAGGTGTGCCCGTGCACACGTGTCTGACCCTCATCTCCCCCCTCTCTCCACATGCCCACCAGACATACCCTGTGACCCTCTGCCCGACTGATGAGCAACTCCTGCTCTCCATGTCCCCTGAAGTCATAGGGACCACTAGTGAAGCTCAGACAGGTCTCAACTGCCCATCTCCCTCAGGATCCTGCTCAGTGGCCTTCCTTCTAAGACACTGACCCTTAATGCCTAACTCCGCCTTCGCTCCCTCTACCTCAACTATGGGCTCATTCTATAACCATATGACCTGGACTGTAGAGCCTGACTTAAGCCTGGCATGGGGATAAGGGTGTCCAGTGAGAGCCAGGTGCCTGTGTGCCCCCTGCTCTCTGCCTGCTTTGGGATGAGGAAGTTGTGGAGAATCTCAGGAGAGGGGCTGGCAGGTGGAGGTCCTCACTGCTAGGGGTGGGACAGAGGCTGGGTGTGGGCAGGTGGGGACCAGTGCCAGCTGTACCCGTGCCCTGGACCATCTGTTCCACCCTGCCCTCTGACCCAGCCAAAAAGGACAGGCTCCGGCCATTCCATGTTTCCCCAACTCATGGTAACTGGGCTAGCTCTGGGCCATCCTTCACTGGGCCACGTTGGGGCTGTTCAAATCTCCTGTGTCCTGGATGCTGCTAGGGCACTGGAAAGTGGCCAAGCCCTACTGTGTGCCCTCCCTACCCAGACTCCCTAGGGCAATGCAAGATGCCCCCCACAAAACACCTAGGAACTCAAGGGCTCTGGGAACTCGTGTTTGAGAACACTGTGGATGGGGTCAAGTGTCTGGGCCTCGGGGTGCACCTGCCTGAACCTCATCTGCTCCTAACTCTGCCCCCCTCACTGCAACCTCCACCATCCTTAGTAGCCTGGCCTGAACTGTCCCCTCCACATCTCCCATCTGGCTGACTCTGGGGCCTGTCCCTGTGCCTCCTCCCACAGGACGCTCCTGGCCTCTGCCCCCATCCCATGGGGAGCCCCAGCCCTGCTTGGCGGTCATTCTGTGGAGATGACCTTGCTGCCGGCCTTGGCTTCTGCTCCTTCCTCCTTGCCTACCAGGGCCCTCTCATTCCTGATGTGTCCAGGGAGAGGGTGGCTTGCACCAGGAAGGCTGACTGGATCCTGTGGGTGTGGGGATAGTGGCGTAAAGTCACTCTGACTCTGGCTCGGTGGACAGCAGCGTCCACTTGTGTGGTAGAGCTGCTGCCCCGAGGATGTACGTGGCACAGGCAGTACTCTGCATCATGAGATGGGGTTCCCTGTCACTCCCAGAGCCAGGACGGCTCTTTGTGCTCACTCTCCAAGCTGACCTCTGAGGCCTGCAGTCTACCTGGTGCACTAGATACCAGGCCCCTGGCGCCTAGCAGCACAAGTACCATTTCCTGACAGGTGACAGAGGCCTTGAGGAACCCTGCGCCTTCCAGTGCTGTACCTGCTTCAGCCCAGGCTCTCAGAACCAGAGCTCTCTGTGGGAGGCTGAGGGGGCAGCGCTCAGGGCCCTCGCTCGGCCTGGGGAGGTGGTGGGTTTCATGGTCACGTTGCTTGAGGGTCAGGGCCAAAAGGAATGCAGAGGCCTCCTTGGCATGATGAGTGGGGGTTGGGCCAGAGTGAGGCTCCCTGGCCTGTGGGGGTCTCTGGTATGTGGGGCAGTGACAGACCAAGCTGGGCTTCGCCCATATTCCCTAGGGGCAAACCAGAGCTGACCCCAGTTGTTAACCGGGGTGGTGCTGCAGTGTGGGGCTGCTTGCGGGGTCCAGCTTGGGAGTGAGGGGAGGCTGGAGCCCGAGCTCCTCCTGTCACCAGGACCAAAGGAACACACTGCTGCCAATGCTGCTGCCAAGAGAATACTGCTTCGGGGTCCTGGCTGCCACTTCTCCGCTCTGTAGATAGGAAAGTCAGCCAGGGCAGGCGAGCTGTACGGTGCCATGTTCAAAGCCGTCCGCAAGAATGTCTGGGCTTGGGAGTGGCTGAGGGGTTCAGGAGGTAGGGGACATGCCAGTGCTGCCCTGGTATGCTGGGAGGGGCCAGAATGAGACACTGGAGATACAGGTGTGGTTTTCTAAAGGACCACGAGACAGAAGCTGACTTGGCCAGCTGTATCTCCAACTGCTTCCCTCCCCTGCTGGGGTCACTTCTGTATCACAACTCTTCTGCTTTCGCTGGGCCGCTCTTACTCCTCTGTGAGAGCAGGGATGGTCATACCCATTCTGCAGACAAACAACCTGAGGCTCTGTGGGAGGGCTTGCCCACGGACCATCCGGGCATCAAGGCTTCTGGCTCTGCCTAGGGGGAGGATACTGGAAGCAGATGCAGAGCCATGACCAGCCTTGCATCACGGGCCAGGTGGGCCCAGGCAGTTGGGCTGCTCTACCCCTGCAAACAGGTGGCTGGCGAGGGCAGGGTCTGGCGGGGAGGGAGACTGGCAATAACGTCCCTCCCCACTGCTCAGCTGCTGGTGGAGCATGCGGTCTGGCCGGGTGCTTAGGGATGAAGGGGAAACTGAGGTCTGAGGCAGAAACTGGCCAAGGGCCACAGAAAAGTGAATGCAGGGTGGGTAGTGTCTAGCTGGATGAGCTCTGGGCGGCTCTGTGTCCTGCTTACACGTGACTGAGAGCAGCCAGGACCCTCCCTTGGGACTGAAGTGTCCTCCACTGGCTACAGTTTAGGGTCAGCCCAGGGCTCAGGCCTGCTCACTGTGGTCTTGGGAAAGCCATGGACTCACTGCACCTCAGTTTCTTGGCCATGGAATAGGCTCACTGTGCATCCTCGGAGAGGTAGGGCTGGAGCAAGGTGGCGCCATTGCCCTTCGGGCCCTCCCCAGGCCCTGTGCCCGGATCTGAAGGACATGAGGGGCCTGTGGGAGGGCAAGGAGGGGGCAGGAGCCACAGGGTCCAGCTTCAGGGCCAGGCAACGCGTGGTCACAGCTGGCTGCCTCTCCTGAGCCCTTCGCCTCCAGGGCAATCCCTCCTGCCCTAGGGAAGGAGCTCCTCCCACCCCATCTCCTCCCACTCTAGGCCTGAGGACAGGGCAGGGTATCTGCTGGCTCTGAGGGGTGGCCCAAGTGGCCTTTGTCCTCCATTCTGCCATCTGCTTCCCTGACTATGGATTTGCAGATTTTTCCCAGGATAGAGGAGTAACTGAAGGAGGACGGAGGACAGAGTAGAGATCAGCGAGGGCCTAGAAGAGGTGGCCTCTCCCCTCCGGGGACCCAGAAGGCAGTGAGCAGGCCCAGGGCATGGGAACCACATCAGGATGCTGGCCAGGGAACATGACAGAGAGTCCCAGGTGGAATAGTCCCTCCTCCCTGCTCAGGAGGGTGTGGCAAGGGGAGAGGCATTCTCCTGGCTGGACATCTGTCCCTGCGGGTGACCAAATGGGTGGAGGGTGACAAACAGGTGGACAGAGCAGGGGCTTTGGAGGGTGCCAGGGCCACTTCTGCTGCTCAACGCCCCCCAGCCCTGGCCACTGCCTTCCTCCAGCACCCGGCGGCACGGAGCTGGTGACCCCAGGGCCTCATGCCATGCTCTTTGCCTTTTCTTCTTTTTTCCAGCTGCCGCTGGTGGCCAAAGGCAGGTGCCAGTGCCCTGGACGTTAGGAGTCACCGCTGTCCTCTCTGTTGCCTGAAGTCCTGCCCTGTCCCAAGCCCTCGTCTGCTCCCTGCTCCCTGCCCCCTGCCCCTGCCCCTGGCTCAACCCGCCTGCCGCCAGATCCTGGCATGTCAAGGCCTGGCCTGCTCCTGCCTGCCCAGCCCGCGGAACCCCGGCGGCCCCGCGAGCTAGGATGAGGGGCCAGGCCGCCGCCCCGGGCACCTTCTGGATCCTCACACCACTCCTGCTCCTGCTGCTGCTCCTGGGGCGCTGGGCACGTGTTGCTGTTGGGGCAGACACAGGGCCTGGGGCCGAGACGTGTGCCACGCTGGTGCAGGGCAAGTTCTTTGGCTACTTCTCGGCAACCGCCGTGTTCCCAGCCAACGCCTCGCGCTGCTCCTGGACTCTGCGCAACCCAGACCCGCGGCGCTACACACTCTATATGAAGGTGGCAAAGGCACCCATACCCTGCAGCCGCCCTGGCCGCGTCCGTACCTACCAGTTCGACTCCTTTCTTGAGTCTACACGCACCTACCTGGGCGTGGAGAGCTTCGACGAGGTGCTACGGCTCTGTGACCCCTCTGCGCCCCTCGCCTTCCTGCAGGCCAGCAAGCAGTTCCTGCAGATGCAGCGACAGCAGCCACCCCAGGATGGAGACCTGGGTCTCCCAGGGGAGACCCCAGGCCCCAGCGATGACTTCTCTGTGGAGTACCTGGTCGTGGGCAACCGAAATCCCAGCCGAGCTGCCTGCCAGATGCTGTGCCGCTGGCTGGACGCCTGTCTGGCGGGCAGCCGCAGCTCACACCCCTGTGGCATCATGCAGACCCCCTGCGCCTGCTTGGGTGGTGAGGCCGGAGACCCTGCCTCCAGTCCATTAGTCCCCCGTGGTGACGTCTGCTTGAGAGACGGTGTAGCTGGCAGCCCTGAGAACTGCCTCACCAGCCTGACCCAGGACCGGGGCGAGCATGGCTCAGCAGGTAAGTGATGGCTAAGAGCAAGTTCATGCCCAGCAAGCTCAAGGGCCTGAGTTCAATCCCTGGTTCAAAAAAAAAAAAAAGCAAGTTCAGAGGTGGCCTCCAGGCAGATGTGGAAGGCCCAGGAGGGTCTCCAGCACTGGGTCTGACCAGTAGCCTCATCCATCTGGGAGGCCCTTATGCACTGCCAAAAGTCACTACTGACACACTGAGGGCTGGCCCATGTGGGCCCCAGTGCATAGGAACTTGCTCTGAGAGAATGAAGGGACGTAGGTGTGAGGGTTTAAATCCCCAGCTGAGAAAGGACAGAGAGGACATTTCTGTAGGCCTAAGGTGGCTGTGGCTAGTGGCTATAATCTGCAGGAACATCTTGGGGTGGATGCTTGGGCTTTTGGGGCTGCATGAGCAGCGTGGACAGGTGGGCATTTTGTGATCCACAAGGAGTGATTTGCAGGGAGAGTAGCTCATCCCATGGCTAGTTCCTGCATGCATAGAGGATGCCTTCTAGGCCCTGGAGAGCACCACACACAGACCCCTTTCCCCAGCAGAGAAGAAAGCAGTGACAAGGGTATTGGAAGACTCACCTCAGGCAGGGCCCTTGAAGGGGCCACTGTTTCTCTCAAGGTCAGGGAGGGATGTGGACTGTGGCCTTGTCTGGCATTCTGGGTGGTGTAAGAGACGTAGATTCACGTGGGCCCAGGCCTGAGGTTGCCAGGCGCTTGGTGCTTCGCAGAGTGGAGGGCGTACAGGCCAGTGGAGCACGGGGGTCTCCCTGGTGAGAGAGGGCTACACAGGTGGTGCTGAGTGGCCCGGAGCCACAGGTAGGCGCAGTGACAGAAACTTGCCGGTTAGGCCTGTACACAGGGACAGCAGTAACTGCAGAAGAGAAACAGGGAATCCCAGGTGTAGCGAGAGGCCCGGGGAACTGGCTGAGTAAGAGTGTGGCTCAGATCTGAGAGACAAGCAGGGGTGATGCACATGTTTGCAGCTGGGTGTGGTGTTGTTGGGAAGGCAGGTGGGGGCAGCCCTTCCCCCTCAAGGCCATAAGGGGCCCTCTCACAACATGGCTTCACATGGTCACAAAGGAAGCCAGAGTCCTGGGACCCAGTTCTGTTCACAGCCGCAGCTCAACTGATGGATCCATGAATTTGACCAGGCAGGAGGCAGGGATGGTTGGGGATGGAGGGATGAGGCTGAGCCAGCAACTCCCCAGGGAGCATAGAGGTGATGTCCCAGGGCTGCTACATAGGAAACCAAGCGGGAATCCTGGGCAGGATGGATGGGGTCAGGTGCCATCAGGGGCAGGGAAGGAGCTGAGGACTGGCCAGACAGGCTGGAGGTCATTGCGACTTTGGCCAGGGCAGCATCTGTGGTGTGGCAAGGAGGAGAGTGGGTCCGGGGGCCCTCAGAGGATGGAGCAGTGCATGGCATTCTCTTTGGGGAGTAGTGACGTGAGGCAGTGGCTGGTTTGGGCATGGAAGGGCGCAGGAGGGCAGAGCCTTTAGTCACAGGTGGCTGTAGCTATGTGTCCTCTCGGGCACCCTGATCATTTAGCTGCTCTGACTCCTGGCTCCTTCATCTGCCAACCTTGGACTTCTCTGCAGGGTGCCCTTGATCTGGTGTGGTGGATCTCACCCACCCAAGGCCACACCCATGGGCATGCATCTCAGGCAGTGGCTGTGCCCAGGAATTGCCAGGCTCTGTTAGAGCACATGGAGGCCTCACGCTTTCTTGAGGTGCTCCTCTGTGTGGACCCCACAGTAAGAGCTCTGGGTGTAATGGTCTGGCCTCCACGTGCAGTTTGTGCCTGCTCTTGAGAAAAAGAGGATCTTGGGAAGGATTAGAATGGAAGAGTGGAGCGCCTGGGTTGCTCCAGGCTTCCAGCCTAGCATGGGCATGGGGGACATGTTGATGGCCTGGAGGGCAGAAAGAGAAAGGCCTTGGTTGGACCTGATGGCCTTCGGGGAACAAGGGGCAGGAGGAGGCAAGATTGCTCCTGGGATGTTGAATTGTGCAGTTACCTGAGGTAGGCAAGTGGGGCGGGAGGCACAGTGCAGAGGAGGGTCCTCAGGTCAGAGTGGTTCTTGGCAGGAGGTGCCTTGTGCGCTGAGCTGTGGCCCTGGGAGCACTAGAAAAGGCCAGGCTGAGGCAGTGGCATTTGAACCTTGTCTCTGGAGACCCAGGGCCAGAATTCAAGTCTCATCAGACCTGAACTCCAATGTATTCCTGGGCTAATCCCCTCAGCTTTCCCATCCGCTTGGGCTCATCTTTTAAACCAGGAAGAGTAAAAATATCCTGCTTCCTAGATTGCCGTAAGGAATAAGAGCGGGGTGGAGTGTCTCTAAGCACAAGCAGTGTTGCTGAGGAAGGAGCAGCGTCCGTCTGTGCTGGAGATCAGGCACGAGATCGGCTGGCCTGGGGGCGGGGCTGCGGGCAGCGGGGACCCTGGGAAATCAGCGCATACCGATTTGGAGAAAGAACGCGGGGAAGTAGTGCTCAAAGGCAGGCAGGCCAGTGTGGGCATGTGCACATACACCCATGTGGACATGTTATGGCGCCTTGAGTGTGCAGTGCATTGTGTTTGTATGCATGTGTACGCTACACAGTATGTATGCGTTTTTATGCATGTACTTGCGGTGTGTCTGTGTATGTGTGCTGTGTGCGCTATGCACATGTGCGGTGCTTTGTGTATATGTGTAGATTGTGTGAGTCCATGCTTGTGTGTGTACACTTGGGTGTATGTGCTTGTAGAGTAGATTGTGTTTGTGTGGGTGTGTACACAGCACAAATTGTGCGTACAGATGCTCTATATGTGGGTATGTGTGTGTGTGTGCATGCATGTGCACATGTGTGGGTGTAAATAAGTGTGTGCCATGCACAGTTCATGTGCTTGTTCATTCATGGTTGTGTGAGAGCAGGAGCGTGTCTGTGTGCACGTGGCGAAGACGAGCTCTGTGCAGCTGGTGGCTGAAGAGCTGTTGTGCAGTGGCAGGCGGTCTTGTGGAAGCGAGTCTGGGATGCACATGGACCGTGGCAGCTGGCTATGTGAAGCAGGAGCATGTCTTCATAGATGAGGTAGAACTCAGCATGGGGGCATTGGTACCCAGCCCCTGCACCTAGGAGGTCGCAGTTCTTACTGGCTGTGTGTGTGTGTGTGTGTGTGTGTGTGTGTGTGCGCGCACGTGCACGCGTGCAAGAAGGACCAAAGAAGTCAGGTTGCTGTATGGACAACATGCTGTGGGCCAAGATAGATAGCCAACCCCTGCTGAACCCACTCAACAGGACCTGGTGGCTGTGTGTGTGTGTGGCTGAAAGGTGGCTGAAAGGAGCAGGTCTTGCGTGTGGCTGGGCAAGCCTGGGGCCCTTTCTTAGGTCTGCCCCACCAGGCCAGCCACATACCACATGGCACGTCACAGGCCAGGTTCCATAATATTCCTCAGGACAGAGCAATTGTCCCTCTGCTCCTTCCCTCTGCGGCTGCCAGGCCCTGGTGCTACCATCTCTGTCTCTGTCACTGTCTCCCATTCCTCTGTTTCTATGTTTCTCGTCTCCCTGCGCATCTGTCTGTCTCTGTCTCTGTCTCTGTCTCTGTCTCTGTCTCTGTCTCTTCCTCTGCATCTGTCCATCTCCTCTCTCTCTCTCTCTCTCTCTCTCTCTCTCTCTTGCTCTCTCTCTCTCTCTCTCTCTCTCTCTCTCTCTCTCTCTCTCTCTCTCCTGTCTCCCCATGTCTTCATCACTCCATCTCCAAACCACCGCATCTTTCTGCCGCTGGTGAGATGGGCCATTTCTCTCAGGGGTGGTTTTAAATATTCATGTTTTAATTAAAGAATTTTATTGCAGAGGCGACATGTAAGATAATGAAAAAGCAACATCCTGGGAATGAGAGAGTGTGTGTCCCTGAGTGTGTGTCCCCTGTGTGGGACCTTACATCTCCCTGTGGGGGGCGACTCTGGGCTTCAGCCTGCAGGAGGGACTATGCCTGGCCTGCAGAAATGGGGCTGTGTCCCCTTGGTCTTGCTTCCACTGTTGGGCCAGCCTGACTGTTGACACACTTTCCCGAAGCCCTCTTGAGGCTCAGTTCATTCCCCCTGGAGCCCACGAAGCCCTGAGAGGAAGTATGTGAGGCCAGGGTGCACTTAGTGGGGGAGGGCTGGGGTCCATATTAGGCTGGGAGTGAGTAGGAAAGCGTGCCAAGCCCTGCTGTCAGGGCTGCTCGGTGTCATCCTGCCCGGGCAGCTCATTCTTCCTGCACAAGAGCCAATTTGGAAAACCCAAGAAAAAAGGCTTCTGTACCCATCAAGGATAGTACTTGGTGCACGTGAAAGAACGTTGTGGAGCCCAAGTACGTGGATGCCATCATCCATGGGAAACTCTCATGTGCGTGCCCTTCCCACATCACCCACCTCAGCTTGGAGGCCAGACCTCAACCCTCCCTGCTCCATGGCTGTGAGATCGGTTGCTCTGCAGTCTGAGCTGGATTCCAGTTCTCACGAAGATGTGGAGAGGGAATGTCAGGTAGGGGGCTGGCAGCCACCAGGCAGCTGAGACCACAAGGGGCAGTGAGGCATCTGGGGCTCCAGGATGGCCTGCACTCTGGGGCTTGTGGCCAGAGCACTGTCCTCAGGGCAGGGAGTACCTGCCAGACACAGAGACATGGCTGTTATGGACCGAGAGGCATGGCAGCTCATGCTTGGGCTAGTGACCCTGTTTCCCTTCTGTGATCTGGACAAGGAAGTTGGTAGGGACTGTTTAAAGGATGAAGGAGATCTTGTCTGCAGCAGGCTGGAGGAGGTCAGGGTTTGCACGGGGGCTGCCAGCCCCAGGGGGAGTGAGCTAAGGTCAGACCACTGGGCGTGGGGCTGAGTGGGGAAAGGGGCTGCCCCTTTCCTCCTTGGTGCTATTCCTCTGCTCCAGATCCAGGCCACAAGTCTTGGGTCCGGAGTCCAGGTTTAGAGTCTAGAGGCCCCCAAACAGCCCCAACATGGTGGCAGGTAGGAGAGATGGGCCCTGCTGGGAGTCTGGGTAGGGGTCCGTGTCACAGGACCATGCAGTCAGTGTCGGGTATGCGGGTGATACCCAGTGGGCGCTGCCAAGCAGCCCAGAGGTGGCCCAACCTGCTGGACTTGGGAGCCCTCTGCTGGAGGAGTTTGGGAGTGCAGTTCCCCTCCACCAGGGGACCTCTGAAACTGGAAGGTTGGCCAGAATAGGGGGTGCCCTTGCTGCCTCAGCCTTGCCCGCTAGGGATGCAGGGCTTGGGGAAGCCACCATCTTCAGGCCAGGGCACCGTGGTGGGAAGGATGCTGAGCGGTCTCCCTGCTCACCCTCGCTCCTGGGTGGCCAGCCTGCCGGGCGGCTGATAATTGGCTCTATTCATCCCCATAATGAGATGGAAATGAGGCCCCCAGACAGAGGGGGCATTGAGTGGGGGAAGAATGGCAGCTTCTTTCCGGGCCTGGAGGGGCAGCCCACCCCCAGCCCTGTGGCTCCTCCGCTGCCCCCTGGCGGCCCAGCCAGCCCTGAAGCACCACTGTGCCCTCCACTGTGCCCCTGGGCATCCTCTGAGTAGCCCCCTCTGGCGAACAGAGGTGCACTCGCCAGACATTTACCGGGTATGCATGTGAGGACACACATTAAAGTTGAAAATGATAACGATAATAAAAATGGCTGCTACCGTTTTCCGAGCCTTCATTAGTGGAGGGAGTGTGGCCGAGGTTGGGGATCCTGTTGTGACTGGACTCAGAGCTCAGAATGTGATGGAGTTCGGGGATCCTAAGCCTAGGATCAGAGGCCAGTCTGTGATGTGATTCAAGGTTCGGCATGTGACTAGAGGCAAGAAGCTGCATGAGCAGAGGCTCAGCTCAACTTACAACCAGCATCGGGGCTCAATGTCTGACCAGAACCAAGATTCAGCCTATGATCTGGATCACGGCTTGGTGTAACAAGAGTCAGGGCTTGAGGGGGTTCTCTGTCCTCTGAGCTACTGTCCCCTCTCCCCATTCTCTCCTGAGCCAGTGTCCCCTATTTCTGCCTTCTTCTCCCCTCCCCCCTCCCACATCCTCACCACCTGGGTCACCAAGGTAACCAGCCCTGAAATAGTGGGTGTTTTGGCAGCTGAGGCCTAACCTGGGTCTATCCTGAAAGACTGCGCTCTGCAGCAGTTGCCATGGGAACAGAGTGGCATCCTCCGATTAGCGGGGCTTGGACACCCTCTCTTTCCCACCCACTGCCATTTCCTCATCACTCAGGCTTCCCTGTGAGGGCTGGACGGGGATGGGGACCAGCAGGATATGCCACCCTGACCCTGATGCTAAGCCTGCCTCCCTGCGCTCCTTTCCTTTGTCTGGAGCCCCTAGGTTGGGATGGTCATGGCAGAAGAGACCGCTGAGGCTTGGAGGCTCTGGATCTTGGTTAGTCCTGGCAGGTGGCCTAGGCCAGGGTAGTTAGGGGTATGTGGAACCTGACCTAGTTCGATATTTGGGAGCTGACCTGGTTTGATTGTGACTCTTCTCATCCTGAGCCAAGGCATGTGACAGGCAGCCTCTGAGCGGGTCACCTGGGCCTGCTCTGTGGGCAGCTGCTGTCCTGTCCTGCTGGTTGTACACGTGCAGGCCATGCTAGGGACTGTCACTCTTGGCCCCTAGCTCTATCCTGGGGGAGCCATGCCAGCCTGCTCCTCTCTCTAGTGCCCTCACTCCCCTCCGAGGCCCTTCCACCATGTTCCCAGCGGAAGATGACACACAGCCCCCACATTTACAGCTCCTTCTCAGAATCTGAGATTCTGATCTCACCCTTGGCGCTTCCCCAGGGCTAGCTCTGCAGCCCTTCGGGTATCATCACTGTGGTCCCTGGCTTTGCAGATCGTCCTCCGTTCCTTCCACTGCAAGTAGGTGAAGGTATTGACTTACAGAGGTGGCTGAAACTCAGAGCCCTGCTACTGAGGTCTCAAGCACAGAGCAGAGCCCACAGTGCCACTGGAGAGCTAGCGTGGGAAGAGAGGCAGCCTTCCCTGGAGAGGTGGACCTGGGGTCCAGCAGTTGGGCTGTTTCTGCTCCTCCTCCTCCTCCCAGCTGAGGGATGCAGTATCTCTTTGCCTCGGTAGCCTGTTTTCGTGTCTGGTTACTGTGGACAGAGAGGTCTCCCTTGTGCAGGGAAGGACATGCACCAGACACAGTGGCTCGGAACCACTGCCTGCCGCTCTGTTCCCTGGCTGTGTTCTGAGCATGCACCGGGTATGGTCTCAGCGCACAGGAGGCCTGGCCTCTGTGGGCCCTTGCCCCAGCGCGCTCTCTCTCTCTCTAGCCCATGGGGCTGTGGCTCCATGAGAGAGAACAAAAAGCAGTTTCTGAAATAGGCATGGAGATGTAGAAGATGCCCCTTTCCACCCTGTCTGTCCCAGCCGGGAGAATGAGCTCCTATTTGTGAGAGCAATTCCCTCCCTTGAATCCAGCCGCTTGCCCTTCGCGCCCCCTGCTGGCCCACTTGAGCAGTAGCGCAAGGAAGTGGCGGAGCCCTGCACAGACCAGTCAGGGTGCGATCAATAAATCCAAAGGGCCATCCTTTCCAAGCTCCTCTTGGGTATTTCTCCTCCTGCTGATCAGTCCTTGGAATTCTGTTGTTATTTTGAGAAGATTATGGGTGTGAGGCCTGGGGAGGCAACCCTAGAACCGTCCATGATGTGGACTGCCTCCCTCCCCAGCTGCCCCAGTGTCACAAACCATGGTCTTCACCCCTAAAATCCACATGTAAGACTCAGCACTGGAGGCCTCCGGCTGTCAAGAGTGGCTTGCCCGTGGCCAGCTGGTTCTCGGTCGCTGGAGGGACTCACCTGGTCTCCGGTCCTTGAGCTCCCCAGTAGTGTGCAGTTGTGGCTCCGCCGAATGGGAATCCCAGTGGTGGGGGCAGGGCTATCCTGTCTCCTTATCACCTCCGGACCCGGGCAAGGTCAGGGCACCCTCCCCAGGGATGCCCACATTTAGGCTTGAGCCCAGTCTGGAATAAACCACCTGGGGAGGGCTACCCACCCGCACCATGCCCCTGCTTCTCTGGGAGCATGTGGCTGGAATTCCTAAGGGACAGATAGACAGTGAGGTCAAAGGCTAGACGGGGCAAGGGACTGGAGGCCATCTGGAAGAGCAGCCCCATACTGACTCATGGACGGGCGCAGCCCCCATGGCTGTGCCCCAACCATGAGTTCTCTACACTCTTGCATTCCTAGAGGCCACCAGGGGCTCAGACCCTCAGGGGCAGAAGGTCTGGATTGCAAGGACAACACTGGGCCCTGCAAGGCCAAGATGGGGGAAGATGAGAAATGCTGAGAGAGATGCTGAGAAAGAGGACCAGCAGGGGCTGGTAGCCTCTGTCCCAGACTCCCTGCTATGGAGATGAGGACACAGGCTGGAAGGGGCAGGGCCTGAGGCCTGAGGAGGGGGTTGGGGTGCAGGAACTGAAACCTTGGCTACAAAGCTGCTCTGCCCTTAATTGGTCAAAGGGATCTTGGGTGCCAGATTTGCCCACCTCACCCTGGGGCCTCCCACCTCAGGCTGTACCCTCCAGAGGATGACTGGGAGCTGGGTAACGCTGGATGGCCCAAGACCAGCCCCGCCCCCACCTAACCCCGCCCTCCGGTGTCCCTCAGGAGGCTGGAAGCTGTGGTCCCTGTGGGGCGAGTGCACGCGAGACTGCGGAGGAGGCCTACAGACAAGGACACGCACTTGCCTGCCCGCTCCCGGCCTCGAGGGCGGTGGCTGCGAGGGGGTGCTGGAGGAGGGGCGCCTGTGCAACCGCAAGGCCTGTGGCCGTGAGTGCGCAAGGGTGGGGCTGGCGTTTCCCTGATGGGGGCGGGGTGCTCCAGAGTGCAGGCATGATGTGGGAGAAGGGTGGGTCTGGAGGAAGGACTAGGATGGGAAGTGGGATCAGGGGTGGACCTTAGCCAAGAGTGGGACCAAGCCTGACCCTTCCGGGCCAAGCAGAGTGCAAGTGAGGGCCTCGGTGGGGGTGTGGTACTTGAAGCCAGGTGGGACAGATGAAGCTTCCTTCTCAGCTGTGAGTTGGTTTTTGGGGGTGCATGCAGCGGCCTGTGGGGGCCATGGGGCATGTGCCCTCTTCCCTCACCTAGGAAGTCCTGGCCAGGCCAAGCCAGCCAGAGCAGACCTCCAGAATGTATTTCTCTAATAAGGCTCCTTAATGACCTCATGCATTTTTTAGATGCCTCCATAAAGTTAAATCAAGTTCTAATGAGTCTGTCATTCTCTGGGTTGCTTTTTCCTTGATCAACTCTCCTGGGGAGACAGCTCATCTCAGGAGCCCAGGGAGGACCCTGGGGCACCCAGCAGGGGCAGGGGCAGAGCAGCTGTCCAGCAGGTAACCACTGCTCTGCCAGCCCTAGAAGCTGAGAAGGAGGAGCTGCCAGGCAGGAAAGACAGGACCCACAAGAAGGGGCTCATGGTGACCAGGCCTGGTGCTCTGGGCCTGGTTCCCCAGCTGTCCAGTGGTGGCCAAGGACAGAGGAGGCCCCTGCAGGATGCTGACCTGAGCCCATCCTGCAGCCGCTGGGCGCACCAGCTCCCGGAGCCAGTCCCTGCGGTCCACAGATGCCCGGCGGCGTGAGGAGCTGGGAGATGACCTGCAACAGTTTGGGTTTCCATCCCCCCAGACTGGTGAGCTGGTGGTGTGGGCAGAACCGGCGTGCACACAGGCTCAAATGCTGAGCAGGCGAGGGCTGATTTCCTGGGCTAGGTCTGTGGGTAAATACTCCTAAATTAGTAATTGCTGCTAATTATAAGTAATAGCTTTAATGACTTGCCATAATGAGACTAAGCTCTTAGGTACAGTACCTGGCTCAAGCCTCCAGGCTGACTGGCTTTAGGGGCACTGAAGTGGGTGGTGCAGTTGGGGCCAGACCTGTCCAGCGGAGTAGCACAGAGACCTCAAGACCAGCTCGAGCCCCAGCCCGTCCTGCTGCCCCACAGGGCGGCCCCCTCCCAGATCCTCCTCCAGGTTCAGGTGCAGCCCTGTAGGCGTTAGACACGGCAGGGTCGTGATTTTGCAGGTCTCCGTGCCCACAGGTGACCCGGCGGCTGAGGAGTGGTCGCCATGGAGTGTGTGCTCCAGCACCTGCGGCGAGGGCTGGCAAACTCGCACGCGCTTCTGCGTGTCATCCTCGTACAGCACGCAGTGCAGCGGCCCGCTTCGGGAACAGAGGCTGTGCAACAACTCCGCGGTGTGCCCAGGTGGGCGGGGTCCGCGGAGAGGGGGTGGAGTCAGGCCTGGGGCGGGGCCTCAGCCCGGGCGGAGAGCTGCAACGCCTCTGCCTTCCGCTCTTAGTGCACGGTGCGTGGGACGAGTGGTCGCCTTGGAGTCTCTGCTCCAGCACCTGCGGCCGCGGCTTCCGGGACCGCACACGCACCTGCCGGCCCCCGCAGTTCGGAGGCAACCCCTGCGAAGGTCCGGAGAAACAAACCAAGTTCTGCAACATTGCCCTGTGCCCTGGTAGGTGAGAGGGAGCGGCTGGTGCAAGCGGCCCAGCTCTGCTGAGGTTGGATCCTCAGGCTGTGTGCAGTTGGGAGGTTGAGAAATGACTGACATTCTCACGCACGTCCCAAGTGGGGTGTGGGGTGTGGGGAGGTGGCCTCTGGGTGTTCAGACGGGTTGTGAGTGCTGGGTGTTCACACTGGCTTCTCGTCCCCTTCCTCCTTCCGGGCCGGGCAGTGGACGGAAACTGGAACGAGTGGTCGAGCTGGAGCGCCTGCTCTGCCAGCTGCGCCCAGGGCCGGCAACAGCGCACGAGGGAGTGCAACGGGCCTTCCTACGGAGGTGCTGAGTGCCAGGGCCACTGGGTGGAGACGCGAGACTGTTTTCTGCAGCAGTGCCCAGGTCAGGGAGGCCCCTCCTGGGGGGTGGCCCTGCGTGTGACCTGGGGTCCCGGTGTGGGCCAAGTGGAGTCGGGGTGCATGGCGCCTGTGGAGGGCAGGGGATGGCTCCATGTAAGGGCTTTTTGTATTTTGTCGGGTTTCTCTGTGGTCTCAATTTTCTTTCTCCTGGTGGCTCACACCCCTATATCCCTGGGTCCCTTGGGTCCCTTGGTCTATATCTTTATGTCCTCCGGGTCCTCCTGGGTCTCTATCCCCAAAGCGTAGTGTTTCTGTACCTCTGCTGCTCCCAGAGCCCACCCTTCCCCATCACCTGTTGCTCTGTCTGACTGCCCTCTGCAGTGGATGGCAAATGGCAGGCCTGGGCCTCGTGGGGCAGCTGCAGCGTCACGTGTGGGGGTGGCAACCAGCGCCGAGAGCGTGTCTGCTCAGGGCCCTTCTTCGGGGGAGCAGCCTGCCAGGGCCCACAGGATGAGTACCGACAGTGCGGCACCCATCGGTGTCCTGGTGAGGCCCTTCTTGTGCTGTGGCTGGTCCTGGGAAGAACCCAGGGGCAGCTGGAGACTGGCTGAGTGGGGACAGTGGACATCCTGCTGCCAGCTCCCAGCCTGTCCCCAAATGCCTGCCCTTGTTTCTGGCCCCTGGTAGAGCCCTATGAGATCTGTAAGGAGGACAGCTTTGGAGTCGTGGTGTGGAAAGAGACACCAGCTGGAGAGGTGGCTGCCGTCCGGTGTCCCCGCAATGCCACAGGTGAGCATCAGACAGCAGAGAGTGTGCAGGGTTCCTGTCCTGTCCCCTGCTGCAGGCGCACTCTGAGACCCGGGCTTCAGACATCCTCATTGTTAACATTAGGGAAACTGAGGCAGGCACAGTGAAGTAAACACACACTGGGCCTGCAGGGCTGGCGGGAGGGAAGTCCCCATGAATGACAGTGGCTGTAATGAACACACCAGCCCCAGGACATGGCAGGGGAGTTGGTAGAGGGGTGGAAGAGCAAAGCAGGCAGTGGGAAAGGAGGCTGTCTATACCCCAGTATTGGTCTCCGTTGCTCCTACTGGAAGAACGGAAGATGACTTCTGTGCCTGAGAGGGGACAGGCAGGAAGGCTCAGAGCCAGGCTTTGCCCTTTGCTGTGTGACATTCTGGAAATGGCTTGTCCTCTCTGGGCCTCACTTTTCCCATCTGTGAAATGAGGGCTTTGGGAGATCCTCCCCATGGGCTGCCGTTGAGATTGGCTGGGGTGGCCATGATGGGCAAGGATGGCAGGGGGTGCTAGGTTCTCCCAGCTGGGCTTGGTGCTCACACCTTGCTTTTCATCGTGTGTTACTGCTGGCATATGGCAAAGCCACAGAAGCAGAATGAAGGGAGTAAATGTCGCACTGGTATGCCACACACAGGCACCCCAGTGTTCCCCTTTGTGTCCCCATCTCAACCAGTGGCTTATGGATTCTGCATCATTCTGCCCTATGCTCCTTTTAGTCCACGTGGCTATCACCTGCATAGGTACTTAGTTGTCTTTGCTCCTCTGGAGTGCTCAGGGAATGCTTTCTATTAATGTGGCCCTTAATTCAGGCTTTTGATATCCATGTCCCCAGTTGGTGACTCCCTGAAGCCCTCTGGGCACAGCAGGGCACCGGGCTGGCTGTCCCCAGGGCCCTGGCTGAGTCCTAGTTCCCCCACATGGCCATGCATTCCAACCGGGCAGTAGGATCACCAGAGACCTGGGGCCTGGGCCCAGCGGCTGGAGCAGACGCTCAGCATGCCTCCGGAGCATGCAGCCTCTGGGGGCGAGGCTCGGGGGCCCAGGCAGAGTGGCTCCTGTGGGAGCTGTGTGGAGACTCCTGTGCCTGGCAGTGAGCATCCACCTGAGGCGTGGGAGGTCTCCCCAGGCCTCATCCTGCGGCGCTGTGAGCTCAACGAGGAGGGCATCGCCTACTGGGAGCCCCCCACCTACATCCGCTGCGTCTCCATTGACTACCGAAACATCCAGATGATGGTGAGGGTGGCCCCTCCCCATGCCACACCCACTCCCTATGGACTTGAGGGGTGCCACAGGGGGTCCTCCAGGTGGGGGAGGTCCCTAGCTCCTGCTTGGAAGGCCCTGCAGTGTGATGCATCCAGCTCTCTCCATCTTCCCCAGACCCGGGAGCACCTGGCCAAAGCTCAGCGTGGACTTCCAGGGGAGGGAGTCTCAGAGGTCATCCAGACCTTGGTGGAGATCTCTCAAGATGGGACCAGCTACAGTGGGGACCTGCTCTCCACCATTGATGTCCTGAGGAACATGACTGAGATCTTCCGGAGGGCCTACTACAGCCCCACCCCAGGGGACGTGCAGGTGGGCGCCCTGAAGGGGACATGCGGAGAGTGGTACCTTGGACGGTGGTTGGTAGCTATCATGGATTGAAGCCAGAGACCCAAACCCAGCGTGGGCCATGGCTCGACTGTGAGCCTCAGGCTGGGCCCTGATTGCGAACACTCGCTGACTACCCGTCTCTGGTTATACATGCGCCTCGATCCTCGTCAGAGGCTGAGCAGGACCCTAAACATGCACTACGATCGTGTTCTCCTTCACCGGGTCTTCTTATTTGCAGAACTTTGTCCAGATCATCAGCAACCTGCTGGCCGAGGAGAACCGGGAGAAGTGGGAAGAGGCCCAGCTGGTACGCACAAGAGACTGGGGCCCTTGTAATTGCCAGCTTCAGGATGAGCACAGACATCCCTGGTGCCCTTCTGAGTCTCAGACCAACTTGGGGAGGGGACCTTGGTGGCCATGCTGGGTGGCTGTATGCCTGAATCCTACCATAGTCCCTTGCCAGAAGGATGACCTTGAGAAAGCGACTTAACCTTAGGAACCTCCAGTTTTCCTCTGTGGAAGGACAGTATCTTGTCCTTAGGGCTTAGTGAGGGGCATGGGAATCTCTGTAGACAGTGCTTGTCCAGAGGCCTGGGACGTGGTGGGTCGCCGTCCCTTTCTTCTAGGCTGACTCTGAGCCTGAGGTACCCGGGCAGTATCTGACATGCAGCCCTGACGCTTACTGATCCCCACCCCCAAGAACACTAATGGGGCCCAGCTGTAGCCCCAGACCTTGTGACCTACCTGTGCTGGAGGTGGCCCTCAGAGGTCACCAGCCCTGCTTCCGTGCTGTGCAGAAGGCAGGGTTCCCTCCTACCTGAGCACAGGTACCACCTCCAGCTCTAGGCTTCTTCCTGTCTCCCTAGATGGGCCCCAATGCCAAGGAGCTCTTCCGGCTGGTGGAGGATTTTGTGGATGTCATTGGATTCCGCATGAAGGACCTGAGGGATGCGTACCAGGTGACAGACAACCTAGGTAAGCTCTTGGTAAGACTTCCTCTCCCTACTGTCCTCTGTGCCTGCCCTATAGCCCTTGGCAAGGTTCTTGCCTCAGTTTCCCTAACTATACAAGGGGAAGTATCTGGCACTCCTCTGCAGGCCCTCTTAGACTAGTGTCTAAGGTCAGCTTTAGGTTTCTGTTCTCTCCATGCAGGTAGCTCCAGGAAAGGAAAAGACCTGGACAGGGCCTGGAGACCTTGTGTTGGGGTGCCTCTGTGACCAGCCCTGGTCCACCTCTCTGCCTGCACCCCTGGGGCCCAGTGTTCCTTGTCCCTGTGCAGCCAGCTACTTTTGCTCCCCCAGTGCTGGAAGCCCCTCATCAGGGGCCCTGATCTCCCCCAGGGAGATCATTTGTGAAATGAAACAGTAACTGTGTTGCCTTATGGGGCAGTGGAAAGTAACAGATGCAACCAACTGGGACTGGGACCGGGAGGTGGATGGTGGCTGTGCTTACGGTGTCCCCTGCAGGCCTGTTTCGTGTTCATTGCCACAGTTCCCTCAAATTCCTCTCATAGGCCACTTTTCCCTCATGGAGGAACGTGAGAGTAGGTGCTGAACCCAGCTGTGACCCAGACGCCACCAGGGAGGGCAACTTCCCCTTCCCAGTGAGGAGAATTGGTTTTCAGGGCATTGCCTGAGCCTGGCCAGATTCCACTAGCACAGGTGCTGCTGGGCCTGTCCCAGCACCCCCCTTAATGTTCCTTCATGTAGTAGCAGAAAGAGGTCTCCCGGGCTGGGCAAATGTTCCCACGCTCTCTAAGCTGGGCCCTGTGTTGGCCCTGCTTTCCGCCCTAGGAGCTGCGGGTCCCAAGGCTCCGTCAGCTGCAGCAGCCCTGAGGCCAGTGGGCCCAGCCTTCACTTCACAGGAGCAGCCAAGGAGGGTGCTATGGGGTCCCCTGGCTACCCCTTGTCCCCCGAAACCCCAGAGTCTACAGTCCTTAGGGCATCCTCCTCTCTCCTCTGGGTCCCTCTGAGGTCATCACCACTGGCTTGGAATTGAGATGTTCGGACCCCAGACCTCACCACCCCTCACTGTCCCTCATCCAGCTCTTTCTGGTCCCGGATGAATGAGTTTCCCATCAGCACTGTTTATCAAGGTTGGGAGCCTGCACATGTGCATCCCTTGCACTGGTCCCCATGTCCATCTGATATGGTCATGGTCCTGTGGTGTCCCCTCCCTGAATGTCTCCCAGGTTCATACTTGCCACCATTCCCTCCTGGGTCAGAGCAGCACCTGCAGCCCCTCAGCTTCTTCCGGGGCCTAAAGCACCTCATCTCACAGGGTCCTGCCTGCAGTGGCCTGGGCCTTTGTCCTCTCAGATACCTCATGCACACCCCACGTGGTATGAACGTGTCCCCTACTCAGGCCTATCCTAGTTTATTACTCACTCTGCCAGACCCTGTTTCTCTGCCCAAGCTGCACCCTTGGCCCCCAAGACCTGGAAGCCACCAGCATAGGACCCACCACTCTGGTGATGACCCCACTATGCCAGGTCCTTCCCTTGTGGCCCTTCACTCTCTCTGCTGCCATCCTGTCCTATACTGAGAAAAATTGCCTATTCAGCCATCAGCCTCTGCCCCGTGTCCAGGTCACTAGTAGGTGATGCTCCCTGTCCACACTCTGTGGACAGTCCTCAGTGTTGTCCACAGCCAGCATGTGGCTCCTGAATGCTGGCCACCACCTTCCTTTCCTTCATCCTTGCCCCTTCTCCACTGAGCAGCAGACTGCCCTGCCATTTCCAAAGCTGGACTGTCCCCCAGCCCTGACTGGCCACTTCCCCACCCCTACCCCTAGGAAGCAGCCACAGGCTCCCTGGACTTCTCCCCTCCCAGGCCTGAATCTCACTCCTGCCCACCGCTCCCTGCATCGAGACCTAACATTTCCTTCTGCAGTGAGTGGTGGTGGCGGGAGTGTTTACAGGGCTATTCACACACAGCGCCCAAGTTGGGGCTCCTTCTAGAACCTTGAAATTACCTTATTTCTGCTTGTGTGTCTCCCTACTCTTCTCTGCTAGGACAAGACCACCTTTTGAAGGGTTTTCCTGGGTGCTCTTGACCCCACCCCTGCTGCAGCAAGATGGTCCCTTCCTTCCTGCAGGCTGCCCCTCGCTCCTCCTGCTCCCACCTGGGGACACCTCCTTTCCCTGCCCTGGGTTGTGCTGTTCCTGGATCTTGGCCCAGAACACTCACTGTTCAGATCTTCTCCAAAGTCAGCGCCAAAGGCAGGACTTCCCCACTGCCCTACTTGGAAATATCACCCTCCCCATGGCCACTTCTACCAACCCCCACTGCGTGTGTGCCCACTGCTCCTTCTCAGTGCCAGGGTGGGTCCAGCACGTGAACTTGGCTATTCATAACAACACTGTCGGCAGTAAGGGCTGGCTGTATTGGGTGCTGAAATTCAGAGAGACCAATCTCTGTCTGAAGAGCCTCTGGTCCACAGAGGGGACCAGGTCCGTAGAGGCAGGGGGTAGAGGAGTCTGCAGAGCTAAGGCAGGGCTAGGGCAGCAGAGGGGACATAGCACCTAGCCTGACAAAGGAGCAGGCAGGGCAGAAGCAGCCTTGAGGGGCCTAGAGCTCCATGGGGGCCACTGTGGCCTCCCTGTCCCTCCCCTGCCACATCTGTGTGAGTGGCCCCAGGATGTGCAGCCCTGAGGGAAGGAGGCAGTGTCCCCCTGCCCAAGGAGGGCCCTCTCTTTGTCCCCCATCCCTGTTCCTGGCCGCGTGTGCAGAGGGGCCCATCATGAAGTTGAGGTGTCCACGAGCCCAGGCTTGAGAGGCTGTGTCCTTGAGTTTGGAGTAGGGCTCTGCCTGTGTGGGCTGAGCCTGACCCTAGTGACAGGCTCTGCCACCCAAGGGCCCAGCACCACTGTCTTCCAGCCATGCTTCCCTAAGCTTGCTCCTGTGTGCCCAATCGCCTTCCATCCGGGACCCTGAGCATAAACTCTACCCACCCACAGCCCTGGGCTACCTTGCGGGGTTGGGAAGCTCAGTTACCCCAGCCCCACCTGGGTGCCGCCTTTCTCCAGCTTCTACCCAGTTCAGGTAGCAGTGAGGGGAGGAGAGAGAACAGCCATAGCACTAGGAGGCACCTGGTTGCGTCCTGGAGGGGAGGCAGACCAGGTAGCTGTGTCTCCTTGGGGATCCCTCTCAGGCCACAAGATAAGCCCCTGACTCAATGGTGGCCCTTTCTGGTACATGGGGACGGGGGCTTGGGTCTGCGGGGCTAGGGAGGACCCCTCTTGGGTCCTGCCAGGAGTAAGCGAGGGACTGCCCTCTGGGGGCCGTGGCCATGCCCACTGCCCCTCGTGGTCCCCATCTGTGATCTGTGGGCTTGGTGGACTTGCCTAGTCAGGTTGTGGGAGCTGGGGCCTGCAGTCTGAGTGGCAGGGGCTTTGGAGGGGGCAGGAGGTCATCCCTGGCAGCAGTCCCCCGTCACATCCGTGGGCACCCTGCACCCCCCTGAAGCCCAGGCAGAGGGTCCTGGTGTGACTATCTCTGTCTCTCCTGCCCCAGTCCTGAGCATCCACAAGCTTCCTGCCAGCAGTGCCACTGATATCAGCTTCCCCATGAAGGGCTGGCGAGCCACTGGTGACTGGGCCAAGGTGCCAGAGGACAGGGTCACAGTGTCCAAGAGTGTCTTCTCCACAGGCTTGGCAGGTGAGGCCCGGGAAGCGGGAGGCCCAGCGCCTGAGGTCTGGCACCCTGGAGGTGCTCCTGGGGTCTGGCCCAAGCTTCGAGGGCAGGATGTCATTCACGCTACTCCCCTGCAGTCCCTGGGCTGACACCCTCCAAGAAGCCCCCTCTACCCTCCTGGGCCCTGGTGGGCTAATCCAAGTGGATGGGTGGGCCAGCTCACCAGAGAGAGGCAGGGACTGTTGATTCGTGGTAACCAGGACTCTAGTTCCCAGGAGAAGCCATCTCGCCCCTGCCACAGCCCATAGGGGACCCTTGGGGAGGGCCTACAGCTGTCCCCCTCCCAGCTCCTGAAGGTTCTTCATGTGCACCCATGGGTGGGGAGGGGACCAACGAGGGCTGGCGAGCATGGCCAGGTGGCAGGTCAGGCCGAGTGACCAGGTGCTCCCTTCCAGAGGCAGATGACTCATCTGTGTTCGTAGTCGGAACCGTGCTCTATCGAAATCTGGGCAGCTTCCTGGCTCTGCAGAGGTGGGCAGTGCTGGTGGGTGGGGTGGTCTGGGCAAAGGGCATGCCAGGGTGAGAGGAGGCGGAGGTGGGCTGTGTGAAGGAGGTGAGAGTGGTAGGCCAAAGGACACAGGCTGGGTCCTAGACTCTGCTGCCAATCTGTCCCACCAGGAACACAACTGTGCTGAACTCCAAGGTCATCTCGGTGACTGTGAAGCCTCCGCCCCGCTCCCTGCTCACACCCTTGGAGATTGAGTTTGCCCACATGTACAATGTGAGTGTTCTGGGCGCGTGCGTCTGTGTGTGGCGATGGCTCCTGTCTCACCGTGGGCGTGGTCTTGGCTCACCTACTGGGCCCTCTCCGTGAACAGGACATCCATGGGGCAAGAAGTGGGGGCAAGCCCAGCCCTTAGAGGCTCTGGGATTTTAGGGCCAGGAGCATCCTCCCAGATACCCTGGGACAGGTGTCCTGATTTCAGACCCTGCTGCCCTGTGACCCCAGACTGATAAGACTTCCCGTGGGTCAAATGCAGGGACACTGACTCCAGGGGAACCCTGTGGGCTATCAGTCCTCATCCAGGGAAGTAACAGTTCAAACTCCTGTATGCCCAATGGCCCTGGCCCCTGGGTGATCTGAGCCAGAAGTCCCAAGGAGATGTTGCCCAGGTCAGGGAAGTGCCAGGCCACAAATCCCAGGCTGTGGGAAGCCACAGAAAGAAGCCAGCCCTGTCCTGTGTAGCTGTGTGAACTCAGGTGGTTTCTCAACCCCTCTGTGCCTTGGTTGCCTCCCACTTGGGTGAAGACTGACTTCTCCCTATAAGTGCTTAGGGTGAGCTACTGCTCTGTGTGGCAGGAATCCCACTGGCACAGCAGGCCTTGTAGGGACAGTGTCCCAGGGTACACTGGGACATGCCTGTGGCTCCAGGGATAGGAGCAAGATGGGTGTTCGTGGCGCTTGCCTTACCCACTCGCTCTCAGGTCAGGGCTGGGCTTTGGCCACATGGCCCAGCCTGCTGTCACTTCTGGGCTCTGTAACTCCTGACCACTATGGTTTGAGCTAGGCCCCAGTGGTCTTGTCCGGTCCCTTCTGTGTTCCAGTCCTCTGCTCTCCTGGAGGAGTTTCTCATAGCATGTGCTTTCTCAGGGTGCCATGCAGGCAGGGGCTACTGTATCCACGGGTGGTCAGGCAGTGACCCCTTGGGGGGCAGGTGACCCTGACTTCCCCCTTCTCTTCCAGGGCACCACCAACCAGACCTGCATCCTGTGGGATGAGACGGATGTGTAAGTTCACCCTGGCTTAGTGGATCTAGGCTGTGGGGTGTTTGGGGGCAGGCTGCAGGGCAGGGGCATGTACAGGGTGGGGACTGCCCTCTCTGCCCTCTGTGTGCTGGCACGCCCTCTACCACTGTCTGCCCAGTCCCCCTCCATCTCCAATGGCCCTGTATGGCTCATGAGGCTGGCGGGAGCCACTTCTACTGGTCCTGTCCCAGAGCAGCCAGTCTTGGTGTCAGTGTGCCAGGCACTGGAGCCCCTAGTGTCTCCAAGCTGATGAAGGCATCTTAGGAGGAACCTGAGACTCCACATATTCAGATGAACTGGGGCTCAGGAGTGCTCAGTTTCCTGTCACATGCCCAGCAGGCACCAGCAAGAATAGGCTGGATGCTTGTCCCCTTCCTGGAGCCACAGGCTGGGACGTGCCATCACAGGGAGGTGAGAAGGAATGATAGGGGGCCTCCCATCCTGGATGGAAGGGAGCAAGGCCTGGAGGAGCACTCCAGAGGTGAGGAGTGTTGAAGCTTTGCAACCAGGGCTTGTGTCAAGTCCTGCAAGGCCAGGGCTCATGGGTTTGGGCAGTTGGGTAGTGAGCCCATCGCCCACCCACTTCCTCCTCTCTGGCCCCTTGCACACCTTCCCTAGGCCAGGCAGCACGTGAGTGCTCAGTGTGGCCCAGCCCCTGGCAGTGCAGTCTGTGGCATGGGGAACTGTAGGGTGACAATCGCATATCCTGGGCAGCAGGGATGGTGTGTCCTGAGTAACCAGGCTGGAGGATGAGATGGTGGGTGGAGGGCACTGGGGAGGGTGTAGCTAGGGCCACATGGAGGCTGGAGGGCATGGGCAGCAGAGGCCTGGCAGCATGGGTGGCGGGAGGCCCTGGGAAGAGGTGCTTTGGGGGACAGGACAGTTACTCACTCAGCCTCTGTCCTCCAGTGATTGCTGACCACTGGTGAGGCACTGCCCTACAATGTCCTGGTTCTCAGCTTCCTCCATCCCCATCAAGGAGGGATGGCTTAGTATGTTGGGTCATGCTGGGGCTGCGAAGTGGAGCTCAGAGGGTCTGGGTGGGTGAGGAGCTGCTGAGCAGGGACTGGGGGCTGGGGGTGCCTCCTGAGGTGCTGATAGCTGGACGCAGCCAGCAAGCTCTGAGCAGCGGCCATCAGGACAAGCACTGAGGCCGAAGGATGGGAATGTGCACTCCCTGCGTGGGGGCTGCTGTGTCGCATCCTGCCGTGGGCCTGGGGGCTCAGCTGGGAAGCCAGCTCTCTAATTTGGGCTGTTGCTGATAACTTTCTTCAGGTTTTGCAAGTGGCATAAGCTGTTTATACAAAAGAGGGGATCTGGAAGAATAGGAAAAGAGAAAGCAAGAACAGTGGCCCTGGGCCACGAGGCACCAGGCTGTCCCCTGTGGCCATCTTGGGACATTGTGAAGTTGTGCATTTTCAGGGAATGAAAGTTGCTGCTATGAACGTAGGGTGACCCCATCTCCCCTCGAAGCCCCACCACCACCCAGAGATACTCCTCCCGGGGGACTGCTCACTGGCTGGTTCACCTGGCTGGTTCGCAGATGCCCCGGGGAACCTATTCTTCCTGCTAGCTTAAACACCAGGGCAGCTAGTGGCTTGACTTGGACAGCTCTGCCCATGTTTCTGGTTATTTCCAGTTGGTCAGGGCACTGCCTGCGGCTCAGGCTGAGCCAGGAGCACATCCTAGGTGAGCTAGGGCAGACTCTGGGGCTGGAATCAGCCTACTTTTGGGAAGTGATGGAGCAACCAGAGGACCGTGGTTCAGTTTTTGTCACAGCTGTAGTGGTGCCGAACTACCCATTTGGCACCCCAGACTTGCTTGGCTCCAGGCCCTAGAGATCAGATCCGTTAAGTATTGCAGTGGCTAAGGTACCAAGGCCAGGAGGGTGTCTGCGAGGTGCTAAGTGGCCTGGCTTTCTTACGGTGATTCTGGATGGAGGCCCTTTTCCACTGCTGCTGGTGGGGTCCCTGGTCTGTGTGAACCCGGAGTCTGGTACTTCCTACTTCACCTGAGTGGGCCCCAGGGACTCTGGGCACTGGGGCCTGGATCCACTCCACAGTGCCCCTGGGTTAGGTCTGAGCTGGCATGGGCCTCTATATCAGATGAAAAAGCACCAAGAATCCAAAGAAGGATTCCGTGTGGGGAGTGGGCACTGGTAGGGGAGGGGAGGACAGGGCAACCATTTGTGATCATCAGCTGACAAGGTGACCTCTTAGAGCAATAATTATGACATGAAGTTGAGTCCCTATTGTAGGCACAGAGAATGCCTGGCTCCTGAGCACAGCCGGACACTTCACCCTGGACACATGCTGTGTCCAGATCCTGAGCTCTGACCTTGTCACTCACTAAAACCCTCTGTCTCCTGACCTCTGTCACTCACTTAAGCTCTGACCTTGGGCCCATGCCAGGCCCTGATCCTGGTTATACACTGAGCCCTGGTCCTGGTTACAGCCTGGCCCCTATCCCATGTCAAAGCTGAAAGGACTTGTGCACATTCACGTGCATTACATGTGTCACGTGTTTGTAGAACCACCTCCTCTTCTGGCCACATGCAACAGTTGATAGTGTGACGCATCTCACTTGGAAAGAAAGATCTGGAGTCCTTGCCCCCTGGCAGACCTGCCTACCTCACCCCCAGCAATTCACACACAGCTGCACATTCGGCTTGGCACCCATCTCCAGGTATCTACCGTGCTCTAAACACTGGACCCAGAGCCCCTGGAGCCCCCAGCCCTTCCACCAGTGTTACATGATCAAATTCCATGTCTTAGCTCCAAATGCCCCTGATCACAGGGCCATACACTGGCTGAACAGCATGGCTCAAGGCCTCTAATCCCCCATACCCTACCATGGCAATGGCAGTTAGCTGGAGTGGGAGTGTCTTGGAGTGGGATAAGGGGAACAAAGGGGGCCTTGCAGAATTCCCAGGACTCAAGTTAGAAGAGACCACCCATGACACAGCACACCCTGTGCAGCCCTCAGCCACGTGGGACAGTGGCAGCCACGTGGAGTCACGCCTATGCCCAGCATTGGCGCTGGCTGAGCAGTGTGTGTGTATGGCCGCGGCTGACAGGAGGGTGGGTGGGTGCCCCCGCTGGGCCTGGTTGGTAATGGTCAGGTGCAAGAGGGAGGTGAGGGTGGAGAAGCAGAGGCAGACAGATGATTGAGCAGCTGATGGACAGCGGCCAAGTGGGGAGGCAACTTCCGGGCACATGGACAGATGCAGGTAGAAAGGGGTGGCCCTGTGTGTGGGAGGCACAGTCCCCAGGGCTGCCCGTGCAGATCTCCCAGTCATCACCAGGCATCTTCAAGCTTCAAACACCCACCTTTGCTCTCCCAGGCCCTCAGGCCATAGTTGTGGCTACAAAGCCGTAGCAGTGCCTTGCTCCCTGTAGGCTGCGGGAGGACCCCTCCTCACCTCTCCCAACTTCCGGTGTCCTGAGAAGGTGTCCTCAGGTTCCCTCTCTTATGGTCCTCCCCCTTCTGTTTCTCTCACCTCCCTTCCTCTTGGAAGAACTCTAGTCACTGGATATGTGGCCCACCCCAACTTGTACAAGATTTTGTCGCGATTACACTGCAAGGGCCCTTTTTCCACAGAAGGTCATGCTAACAAGTTCTAGAGGTGTATGTACATGTACTCTGGGGGACAACTATCAGTCTGCTGTAGACAGAGCAGTGACAGGTGCTGGGCAGACAGACAGGCTGGTGGCAGTGGAGTTGACGGGCCAGCCGCACACTGGCCGCAGCTCTGTGGTTCTCAACGGACAGCTCCCTTAGGCGGATCTGCAAATATTTTGCAGTTTTTAAAACCTCCTTTTAAAAAGTCGAGTTATAGGCTGGGGAGATGGCTTAGTGGAATAAGTGCTTGCCTAGCAAGCACAAGGGCCTGAGTTCAATCCCCAGTTCTGAAAAAAATAAAAATAAAAAGTCAAGTTATGCAGAATATAAAAGTCAGAGCTGGCATGATCTCCAGAGATCTTTTCTCTCAGAAACTGGCCTAACTGAGGTCCAGTGTGGGGTGCTGGCAAGCTAGGGCACTTCCAGTGGCAGCATGAGGGTTCTGGGAAGGGCAAGGCTCCCTGATCCGGGTCTGCTGACTGTAAAGGCTCTGAGAAGTCTTGCAGCTAGTTCCCTTTCAACTGACTCGGGTGATCTGGTGGCTTGTGGGCCCCCAAGACCTTTAAAATACCTGACCAGGGCTTCCCTGAACCTGGTCTGCAGACCGGACTCATTCCCCTCTCTGGGCTCCTTCTGTGGAGCAGCTAGCCAGATACCCCTGGGTCTGCCCTGTTTCTCTCACACACTTCCTCTGTCTACTTTACTTGCCAGCACTAAGGTGAGGTGGGGCAGCTGAGGCCTCGGTGCTCACGGCCACACCCAGGGCTGCCTCCAGGTCCGCTTAGTTGGGCTGGTTTTCCCAACCCTGCCTAGCATGGAGGGCCCAGGCTAGGAGCAACTGGCCTGGAGACCTGCTGTGGGGTCCCTGCCTGACTGAGCATCCTGGTCCCTTTAAGAGTCCGGCCCCTCCCATCCTCCCTGGTTTCCGTGGAGAGGGCAGGGAGAGAGGCAAGCGGAAGCCCAACTTGGCAGGGTCCCCAGGTGGCTGTCAGCGGCCGGTTCCCAGCCCGATTTCTCCCACGCCAGCTGGTTCCTGATGGGGGCAGGGGCATGGAGTGCGGAGAGGGCAGGGGACAGTTGCCGGTAGAGGCCACTTTGGTAACCCAGGATGCACACTGGGGGAAGCAGGAGGGAGCTAGGGACTGGAGGAGGGAGGTCTAGGGACAAGGCCCCCCTGTGCTCCTCCAGCCCCAGCTGCAGTCCCTGCTTCTGTTTCCTCTGGAACTCCCTCCACTTGGCCCTGAGCGGCTACAGTGCTGGCTGTGCTGTATCCCTGCAGCGCCTTTGCTGTAAGAGACTTGTGGCAGGTCTGAGCACAGGAGGAAAGGTCTGGGGACCTGCAGTCATGCCATGGCATGTCC